TAAGCGGATTAAGTATAAGACCTATGCTCGAATATAGGTTCGTTAGGTCGTGTCTCGTCGACTATTAGATTACCGCTCGCCTAGGCCGTTCTAGCGTATTTATTAGGACTTATAGGAATTACCGGAGAGTTATAATAGTATAAGTTATCTCCTTATGATTAAGGAGGAGTATAGCGGTTAGATTTATATACTGCCTTTAGTGTCGAAAAATAGGGTTATAGTCTATAACGCCCTTAAAGCGTTTAAGAGATAGGTTACGCGTTAGTTTAATCTATACGTCTATAAGATACGTAGTGATAATAAGCCTTTAATCGTGTATATAGTAGGGGATTCGCGGACCTAGCTATAGGCGAGTATAAAGGGTATCGATATAAAGATCGCGCCTTTATATACCTAAAAACCAAATAGCGCTATTAAGAGGGCAGGCGAAGCTATCGTTATAAAGTCTAACACTATACTAAACGGCGTAGGTATTCTAGGTTTTATATAGCCAGAGAGTATAAGAGCGGTAGCGTAACTTTATAATATAATTCTATTATAGCGCCTAGGTTAGAAGTCTCCTATTAAGGTACTAGACTTATAGTTTAAAAGGCACGCGCCGCTTAAGATAAGAGAGTATTCAGCCGACCTACGGCTAGATTAGAGTGGTATGTATGCCTACGGTTACCGCGCTTATCCCTTAGATAGGAATAGGGAGACTAGAAGGGAGAGAAAGATATATAAGGTTTAACCTAGGGGCTATATTAGGTATCTTATAGAATATATTACCTATAATATCTATAGGATATAGATGTCGTAGTATTAGAAGGTTATAATAACGCGTAACGTGTAGTTTAACGAGCGGTTATTTTATAACTCGAAGCTCGAAGAAGTAGAGTAGATTATGGAGCCGGAGCCCAGGAACTAGCTTATAACCTACGAAGACTATAAAGATAAAGATACCGAATTTATCCTATAAGTAGCACCGCCCGCCGGCCTATCTAGTAGCGCACCTTCTAAAGATTAAGTAGAGTCTACGGGTTTAGACTCGGGGGTAGGAGTAGCTAGTACTATTCTAGAGGCGCCGGAACCACTAAATGCCGATGTAACCACTAATAGTCCTAACGATAGGCTACCCGAACCGCCCGTGCTAATAGGCCTCTAAGCTCTATTCGCTATACCTGATCCGTAAAGCCGGAATAACTAGGACTAAGGCGCCGGGCCATAGCTATAGGAGGAACTCTTAATTAAGCTATCGTCTATATATACTACGGTACCCGAAGGAGACGCTGCTATTAACACGCTAGAGCTATATATACTAGATCTTAATATAGATAATCTGGAGTAATAAGGAGGAGCGAGGAATATATAGACTAAGGCACGGGAACTAGCTACTCCTAATCCAGGTCACGGTATTAACTAGCCCTTAACGTCTAGATCTCGAACTAATAATCCTAAGGTGACCACGCACTAACGTAAACGGAGTATATAGGTTAAGGATATAATAAGGGTTAGCGCCCGAATTATAGATTAACGTGCTTAGGGGAAGACTATTCGGATTAATCCACGGACGCACGTAGTAGAGCCAGATATACCCTTAACATATACGTTCTTCCTATCTAATTGATAAAAAGTGTATAACGATAAGATATAGGGGCTCCTATCCTTTTACTTAGTGATATTCGGAGTAGCCGATATAAAAATAAAACCTTATTCGAAACTAACAGAGGAACCGAAGTCCTTACTCGACGGCAGGGTTTATCACGACCACCTAAAGGCTATACTAAGGCCTTAGAGAGAGCTTTATAACCATCCTATACGCGACTAGTTTAAGGAAGCGGCGTAGAAGGAGGTTAATAAGCTAATTCAGAAACGTATATAAAGGGAAATTAATAGGGTATCGGCGAAGTCTAAGCCTCTTTTACTTAAATAGGTATTTATCTATAAGTTCGACTAAGGCGGGTATCTTAAGAGATATATGGTAAGGCTATATATCCGAGGGAATCTCCAGGAAAGCTTAACGATTAAGGGAATCTACGCAGTAACGCTCGCTTTAAGGTCGTTTCGTATTATTATAGCTTTAGCCGCTTAATTTAACCTAGAGATTAAGTAACTGGATATCGTTAACGCCTTCGTTAACGCCGAGAGGAATAGAATAGGTACGCCCGTTATATATAAGCTTCTAGATAGGTTTAAGTAGCCAGATAAATACTTAGAGCTAGATAAAGTACTTTACGGCTTACGAGATTCACCTCGATTATAGGTCTAGACCTTTATAGCGACGTTATCGGATCTAGGGATAAAGCCTAGTAAAGAAGAGCTATATCTATGTTATATAGCGGCTTAAGACACGTTTATTATCTTCTTTATAGACGATATCCTCGTCATATTCTATACGAACACGGCTATAAACGCCTTTAGAATTATTAACGATATCAGGAAAAGGTTTAAAGTATTAGAAAAGGTAATGTAGAGTAGTTTCTAGGAATTAAGATCACGCGTGATCGCTCCCGGCGTAAGATTCTACTTAGTCACGACTTATATATCGAGAAGATCGTAGTTAGATTTAATTTAGATACTACGAATATATACCTAGCGATTCCTATTCCTATTATAGAATACCGGAAGAGAGAAGACGAGACCACGGCTTAAGAGGTTAAATCGTACTAGGAAAGGGTCGGATTATTACTATATATAGTAGTTATAATACGTCCTAATATAGCCTTTACAGTATCTATCTTTTCCCGCTTTCTTAGAAACCCCTCCCCGGAGTATTATAAGGCAGCGGACTAAGCTATCCGTTACTTATATATAACTAGAGACCTCTCGATTTAGTACGGATCGAGCACTAGTTTATAGGCTATAGTAATCGCGAGTAACGCCTCTTTTACTAACGATATCGATACACGATAATCTTTATAAGGCTATCTTATTAGCTTATTGAGAGGTCTAGTAGTATAGAAAATGATAAGGTAAGTAACCGTTACTATATCTATAACTAAAATAGAGCTACTCGCTCTAGAGTAAGTCGCGAAGGAAACGATAGGATTAAAGCGCCTATTCGCAGAGATACGCTTTGACCCCGAATCCCCTTAGGATATTAATTACGATAACACTTAAATAATTAGGCTGATAGTAGATAACGGCTATAGGATCGAAACCCGGCTTAGATATATAGATATTTGACGCTTATAGGTTTAATAGGAGCATGGTAAAGGGACCTTCAGGGTGGTTTATTTAGCTACGAGCCTTATACCGGTAGACGGAATAACGAAGGTACTCCCACGATAAAAGTTCGAGATCTTCCGCATATATCTTAATATAACGAGTGCACGGAGGGGGTAGACCGGAGAAGTTAACGTTAAGAATCAGGCGCCGGAGGCGCACCGCACGCCGGCGGAATAGTAAGATTAGGGCAAAAGCAAAAGTGGTATCTCTCTATAGTACTAACCTAACGCCTAAGCTATATACTAACTCCTAAGAGCTAAAAGTAAAATATAAAAACTAATGTCCGGCGAACCTAAATACTATTACTATGCTTTATTTTAAGCGACCGGAGCAGCGGTTTTACCGCCACCGCTAATCTCACTACTACCTGCTATAGCCGAACCATTATTAATAATAGCGCTATTTCTAATAATCGGCGCGATAACTTGCCCCTAAGGGGCTCCGGAAACCACGGTAGGCGTAATATTTTGCTATTACTACTACTGCTAAAGCTGGTCGCCGAGGCGACGAGCCACTACCTCTTCTACTAAACTCTTAAAATAAGCCGAGAAGCTAGGCTTGGCCGAGACCTTTTCCCCGGGCGTGGGGATACACTTAAGAGCTTTGTCGTCGAAAAAGCGCTTAGTATTATTATCCTCTAGGTATTTGATTTCCTGCTTAATATACTGCTTTAATTTAGCTAGGAACTACGCCGGAAAGGTTAGCCGGAGCACGTTAATTAAGGAATAAAACGATAAAAAGTACTTTACGGTCGTTATCCGTAGAACTAGGTCTAATCTTATAACAGACACGGCGTTAACTAATATATTAATAAGAGGGAGTATACTAAAGTAACTAGGATCTATTATTAGTAATTAGAATATAACGGAGCACGGATTCTTAATCCGGATTTAAACCGGAGCTCTTATCCACGGTCGTAAATCTCGATAACTAGGGGGTAGGAACCTATACCTAGGAGTATATATAGTTACTATTATAATACTTACGGTAATAAGTTAAGCGCCCCTTAATAGTAATATAGGTCTTAAATAAGCTTTGTTTTCTAGAATAAATGCCCTTTATACACTAATATAAGGGGGATTAAGGGGCACGGTTATAAAATTTAGATCGGGGCCTTAGTCGACTTCTTAGTCGGCTTCTTGGGAGTCTGCTACTCTATTAGTAACCGGAGCCTTACGACTATAAACGAAAGCACGAAGCTAAGGGACTAGAGCACTTATATTAGGCTTTTTACCGGGGGTCTTAGTTATACCGGAAGGCTTAGTTAGACTAGCACTAACGACCTTAGCGCTAGAAGAACGGGTTAAGGGGGCCTAAAATAACGCCTACTATTAGCACCTATATTAAGATTTAGAGCTCTGGTAACTTACTATAGCGCGTTTATAAGGGGAAAAGCGGCTATTTAAGAAAGGAAGAGAAGAAAAAAGTCCGAAAAATTAGGCGAGGCACGAAATCCACGAAAAATCGTTAAAAAAGGATCGTGGTTATAAGAAGGAAAAGAAGGCTAAAAAAAGCCTGAAAACCCTTTTATTTATATCCGGCACCTCCCCTATCTACTAAATACTTTAAATAGCACTTTCCTTTATTATTAACTACTATTATTATTATTCTTTCTTATTTTATAAGCTTCCTTACCTGCCTTTTAACTCGACTTTAAGGGATACATAACTACTCTTTAAAGCTATTTTAAGATTAACTATAAGGCGCTGGCGAGGTCAGGCTAAGTAATTACTAAGCTAATCAGGGTATAGTAATTAGGGGGTGTGTCGCACTAAAAACACGTGAGCCTCTTTCCTGTGTTTCTATTGGTTGTTACTAGACCTATATTCCTCTTTGGAAAAGGGGTAGATATATTTAGAACACCTATACCTTCCTTTTTTTCTTTTCTTTTGTGTGACGAATACAATCATACATCTTCTGTATCTATGCTCCGGCCGGATCACACGCCCGTCAACCCAACATTAGGGCCTATCTCTCCTATCGGTAATTGGCGGCAACACGTAGCGCGACCCGCGCACATGGCTGCGTCCCACTCCTCTAGTGTACATTCTCCTTCACTTTCGGCCAAGAGAAGTGCACCACTGGTTGTGAAGCACAGTAGGTGTAGAGACTTCGCTTTGCTCATTATCTCAGCGGAAGGGTTCCTAATGGGTTCGCGACCCATCGCTTCTCTTGGAGTCGCTATAACCACGCAAGTAGCTATCTCCTTGAGTGGTACGGCGGCGGCCAGCAGTGCAAGGATCGCAGCGTGGAGCAGCGAAGCAACCCAGGCAAGTTTCTGCGTTGTGCAATGTTGAATTAGCCCACCTCGTCTTGGGTGCTAGTCATCTTGGCGAGAAACACAGCAGAAAATAGCAAAATGAACTCACTTTGTGGGCTTGGACGGCCTTGTCGTTTATCAAGTCGCCCCGATGTGTTTGGGTGACCTGGAGGGTCACCTGGAAAACACAACGAGGATACCTTTTGACGAGTATCAGCTGCCGCAGAGCTCTTTCAATTATGGACTCGAGCTGTCGTTCCCTTGTGCCTGTAGAGGTGCATGCATATCAATACCCTATTGTATGTTCTTACAAATGGGCCCAGCAGCCAGTGAGAAGGAGCGTCTTGAAGATCCTACCCCCAATGCCAGCCAATGGCCGTAATACGACGTCGATGATCGCCTCGAAAGGGTTTTCCTCACGTCTCTGCGCCTCCATCGGCCCGTTCACGCTTGCAACCACTTGATACCCTTCATTAGAAAGTGTTGCTGAACCATCTGTTCGGTTGAGATGGGAGAGGTGCCCGTTGGGATGTGACTTCATCATCGCTATGCAGTCAGTCCCTTGGTCGCAGTTGGTTATGAGTGAAAAAATGCCAGTCCGAAGAACAAGGAGAAGTAAGGGTAATTGTCAGATAAAGCGTAGTCAAAATTGTCACAAAATAGGTCAAAATTACTTAAGGCAATTATGTACTATTATGACTGTTGTCAGAATATAAATAATGTACGCGGAATTGTTATCGCATGGGCAGGACCACGACGTGGTCCATAGGGGATCCAGGGGGGATCCACTCCCTGACTAAGGGCTTCGGACCTCGGGCATCAGGATATAACAGGGGCGGATACCGGAAAAGACCGGATAGGATCCAAATAACATAGTACCCATAATAGAGTCTTCACCACCTAAATTAAGGGTATAAGGGAAATACAAGGATGTAACTTAATATATTATATACACACGAGATTTCTGCTCTATTAAGTGAATTATATAAGTGTCTATTTTACGTGCGATAGTTATAAGCCCGGTTTATAACGTCTAAACGATAGATATTAATAAGGCTACCTATATTCTACTACTAAAAAGTAATCACGTTTATATAAGCACTCTTAAATAACTACTATTAACCTAATTAAGGCAATTAAAAAGTTAATTAACCTACCTATTAATTAACTAACCGATAAATAATAGACTAGTAAAGCTATATTCTAACGTATTTAATGCTAAACAAAAGGCGGCCGTTACTACCCTTATTAACTAAAGGGATTAGGTAGTCTAGGAGCGCGCCGTATATAGTATATCTACCTCCTACTAAGATAACTACCTTAATCTAAAGCTAAGTGATAAGGAGGCTAACGCTTATCTCCTCCCTATACCTATACTACCTAATATCCGTAAATATAAAGCCCTTGCTATAAACCCCGATACGGAGGAGGCTATAGCCACCCTATCTTCTACTATTACGGTAACTCCGTCCTCCACTATTATACTAAAGGGCGATAAGGCTATAAACGCCACGGACGCTATAGCCACGGCTACCACGGCTAGTATTATAACGGCCACGGCCGCCGGTAAAAGGAAGACGGCCGCTCGCCGGAAGGCTACGGCCGTAATAAAAGAACTACTAACCAGGACGCCTACGTCTATTAATAACCTCTCCGAAAAGGGGCGTACACACTACTTATAAGATTACCGCGTATACCGCGAGGAAAAGGCAGACTATAATATATAGTAGAAGAAATTTAATAAGGTACGCTCCTATATCGAAAGGACTATCTATACTATATTATATAGCCTCCTCGCTTAATTATAGAATAATACCGTAAATAACTTATAGGCTTAGATTACTCTCCTATACACGTATATAGGACTAACCCCTATAAACCTCTATAAGGAAGCTTTAGCCCTATATTAACGATATACTACGCCAGTAAACGCTATACCTAAAAATATAGACGGCTAGGTTATAAGCTAGAATATAGCGATAATATACTATCAATATATAGGCGTTTTAGAGCTATTAAGCGCGGACTATTAGGTAGAAGACGCGTTAAAAGCTATAAGATCTATTACCTAGGAATAGAGTAATAACTACCTAGTAAATAACTATAATAAGATTACGGAAAATAAGCTAATAATTAATAACTTCGTAAAGGCTTTAAGGGCGGTTCTTAGTAATATAAAAAGCCTATAATCCTGCGCTATAAAGCCTAGAGTCGGGAGAGGCACCTTTATGACCCTCAGGAACCTCCCTAATACTAAGGATACTACTAATAATAAAGATAATAAAAAGCGTCCTCGTAGCGATACGTCCGTAAAGGCTATCCCTCCTATAATAAAAAGGCCTTATAAGATATATAAGAACCCCTATACTACCGCCGCCTATTAGTACGTAAGGCCGGATATACGCCCTTATACCTAGTATAGTCGTGAAGATATTATAAAGGTCGCAGAAAAGAAAATACGTATTTATAGTTTTAAAAGCCGCGTGGATACCGCGATATAAAAAAGGCGGGAAGTAATAGCTACTACCGCTAATAGGATAGAGGAAGTCTAGGAATATTAATTCTATAATACTACGCCTACTACTATAATAGTTTATAAAGACTTATCCGTTACCGCGATAGGACTAAGAGCCTACCTAACCTAGGGGGTAGCGCGTCGTCGTACGACGATACTATTAAGATTATAATAAAAATAAGAGGTATCCTCTTGTATTAACTAAGCCAGAGCGCTATTATACTACGCGATCCTAGACTTAGGATCGTTAATCTATATCTTTAATAATCGAGGCCGTTTTACGGCCGTTAGACTACCTATAGATACTTTATCTTTATCCCTTTAGGTAGGTACTTATAAGGCTTCTATCCTCGGATACGGAGACGTTAAGCTACGTGTATAATCACCGTCGGGTATAAAAAGACTGCTACGCCTCCGTGATATCGTATACTATAAGAAATTTATCACTAATATCGTCTCGGAACGCCAGCTATACCTATAAGGTTACCGCTAGGATACCGTAAATATTACTATTATTAGCTCCGCCGATACCCGGCCTATCTATAAGCTACTAGATATCCACGGCCAGTATATAATTAAGCGCGCGGAAGCTATAGCCGCCACCGCGTTCGCGGTCTTAGTAAGACACCCCCGTGATAACCCGTATAGAAGATCACGATAACCGCGGTAACCGTAGAAGACTATAGTATAACGGTAGTATAAACACCTTGGCTATTACGGTACCGATGTTCTCGCGAAGATCGTTAACGCCACTTAGGGGGTAAAGATAAAGGGACCACGTATATCGGGCTATAACGCGTATAGGTAGTCGTAAGTACCTACGTAGATCCGGCGGATACTATCCTTTTACCCGTTAAAGCCCGGAGAGGCCCTAGCTACTAATTTTCACGATCTAGAAGAGTCGGAATCGCTAGGCGGCCTATATAAGTCTATTATATTCGTTATAGACATGTATATAGGTTATACGTAGGATTACTACTTATAGAAGAGACACTAAGGCTTTATCCTACACGCGTTAAAAGACGTTTTTACCCTGCTTAAGACCTAATTCGACGTTAGGCCACGCGTTCTACGGGCCGATTCCAAGATATTTTAGTACCTAGAAGTCGTTACTTTCCTCGCTACTAAGGGGTAAAGGGCTAGCCGTCGGCACTATACTTATAGGATTAAAACGGTGTTATAGAACGGATTAAAGGTATTATTAAGAGAAGGGCGAAGGCTATAAGAATTAGAGCTAATCTGCCTATATCTATGTAGCCTATGATCTTTAAGACTACTCTATATCTATATAATAGGACGCTACGATATATTGACGACTAGCGAACGCTATATAAAGGCCTACGCGGCCATTAACCTAACCATACGCACCTATAAGTATACGGCTATAAAGCCTTTATAAAAACGCGCGATACCTAAGCTAAAAGGAACCGCCTATAAAGGCTAAAACCGAAGGTATAGATCGGTTATCACGTTAGATACTATTCCTTAAATAGCTTCCGCGTATAGCTACTATACCTAACGGATCTTATTACTATAAAAGATATAATCTTTAACGAAGAGAAGACTTTTAACGGCAGGATTAAAAAGCTATAAGCTATAGCTTCCGCTGAGGAAATCAGGAAATACCAATAATCCATCCGTATCACCTAATCTAATAATATCAGGACCGCGAATAGACTGCTATTAAGGGGTATAGCCGTAAGCGTATTAGATCTCGAGTTAGAAGACTCTAATACCACCGCTATTACTATAGGCGAGGAAAACGCTACCGCTGTTACTACGGGAGAGGCTACCGCTATTACTATAGATACCGATACTATTACGGATACTCCGCGGTTTACCACTATAAGGTTTAAACCGTTTCCCACGCCTCTAATATCCCTTAAAGATCCTGCGCGCGCGTTCCTTATAGCGTTAGCGGTGGTCAGGGGCGTTAAGGTGGAAGAAGACGATAACTACTAATAGGCAGCCGCGGATACCTCTAAGGGGTGCCTATTACCCACGTGCCTATCTATCGTAAGCCTCTACACGACTAAGAAGGTATAGAATAATAACGCCTAGAAGGCATTCTTTAACGCCGGAAGGACTTATAACCCCATACACGCGAGGAAGTAAGCTATTAATAACGGCGATATCGGTACTATAGATCCCTCTCCATTTAACGCCTCCAAGCGGCTATCACGTCTAACCCGCGAGGATATCCCGCCTCCGCTAAACTACTACCGCGATATATACCTTTACCCGTTACGGGAGCGGTGGTTATAGGCCAAGGGGGAGTACCTTAACGGTTACCGATAGATAGGCTACTAATAGGAGGTAGGTAGTAATCAGGCTAATAAGTAGTAAGTCCTCGCCTATAGATAGGTATATACCTATAAATTCAATAACGAGGGCACCCTCCTTAACTATAAGGCACGCCTTATAGTATAAGGGGATTAATGAAAACGGTTAGAAACTAAAGATAACTACGCCGCCACGTTAGCCTCACAGTCCTTTCGTATACTAATAACGATCACCGCCCGATTTAACCTAGAAATAAGGCAGTTTAATGCTATTAACGCGTTCGTTAACGCTAGCCTTAAAGAGAAAGTGTTTATAAAGATACTGTAAGGCTACGAAGTACCAGGTAAGGTACTACTACTACGGAAAGCCGTTTTCGGTTTATGGGTATCGCTACTATTATAGTAGAACGAATTTAGCGGCACGCTATAAAAGATAGGATTCACGGCCGTGCCTAATAACCCCTATATTATACTCCGCGACGGTTTAATCCTATTCTTCTACGTCGACGATATCGGACTTATATACTATAGAGACCGTAAAACTAACGCCGACGACCTTAAGGCCGCCCTTAAGCGAAGCTATAGGTTATTAAGAGGCTAAGAAATCCGTTAGTTCCTAGGAATTAAGGTCCTAAGGGATAGAGCCAGCCGTAGGTTATAGCTATTATAATCCTCCTACGTGGATAAGATCGCGGTTAAATACTATATAGATATCCTCTACCGAAAACCACTAAAGGTCCTATTATCTATAGAGCCGTTAATACCACGCGATGGTATACGCGTGTTAATTCCCGAGGTCTATTAGTATTAGGGTATAATCGGTTCTATCCTATATACCGCTATCGTGATAAGACCCGATATCTCGTTCGCCTATTCGAAGCTTTCCTAATATAACGTTAACCCCT